AGAATGGCTGTTGAGCCTGAACTAGCATTTTCAACGTATGCATCACATAGCAGTGAACAAACTTAGGTCTAGCCTAGAGAATAAGATAAGCCTAGATGCAATCTTTTGGTTAAGCGCAAATGAAAACTGAGTGCTAAATATAAGAGGACCCCAAGGCTGCAGACCAATAAGCTGACAGAAATTATCTTCAATGGATGTAACTATTATGGAAGAGATTTTTGCAAGGCACTGGCATCTCTACATCACCTCAGTCTTTTCCAGATTTCAGCTATAGCCATCTTCTCTTCATCCAGGTATTGCTCTCAGATAGGCATTAATATTATAGTATGCTTTACAGTTACATTAAGATGTACAGCTGGATGTAGTCTATTCAGTGCTGCCATGTTAGCCTCAAGTATCTCACTAGCTCTTTCAGTCACACCTACAGATACTGACTGGGCAAACTGACCACACAATTGCAGGTTCATGGAAGTAAGAATTCTGCAGATATAGGAAGAGATACCAATGATGATTTTGGGCTCATCCTGAGGGAAAATACCCGATTGATTTCAGGTCATTTCTACCTATCCTCAGCTATCTGTTGGAAGTAGAAAAGCAACATTTGGTGGTCAATGGAGAGTAGCAGAATGAATAGACATATTTCTTCTACCAATTTCACAGTTGCTAAGGTGATTTCAGTAAAGTAAGCATTCCCACATCTAGCATCTCAGGTAAAAACAGTAAGCAGACTCGGTCAAAAAATGTAGTCTTTCACAAGGAAGCATGAAGTGTTCACCATATTAAGCTTATGGGCCAACCCATTTAAAGCCACTTTTAAAACATTACTTGTCTGTAAATATGAGCATCAGCATTGGGTTTTTTAATTTAATATAAATGAACATCTTACTTACAAATTAAAACAGGGATTCATTTATATAGCAAGGATGAATAGTTGAATGGGCAAGATCAGATGATTTGCAAGTGGTGGGATTCCTTCTCTCTTTGATAAAGTAGAGATGGGATTTCAAGAAATCTTGTGACATAAATAATGCTCTTCAATGGGCAGACAAACTCACCAATAAAAACCATCCTAGTGTAAAATACTCCTATAAACTCACACAAGAATTAGAAACTGAGAGTTAACCAGACAAATGTCCAAGTCATTGTTAGCAGGGATAAACACCAGGGGTGCCTGTAGACATGCAGAGATGCTGCTCTCATGCGCTGTAATTAGTGCATCGAAGCAGACTTGATTGAATCTGCTGGACCCACGCTCCAGCAGCTTCCATGTCTTGTCTATTCAATGTCCCCGTGCTTCAAAACAGCAGCAGGGGCACTGTGGTAGCCAGAACCAGAGGGGTTACTATCATGAGCAATAAATATATGCTCTTGGAGACATCCAGGCAATTGTTTAGCAGTTAATATTAGCTAATGCAAAGCTTGCAAGTTTGCAACCTGCAAGTGGAATTTGTCTGTCACAATTTAACCAAAGTGTTGAATCTAACTGTTTGCACTGATCATGAGACTGACTAGGCCCCCAAAATAAGTAAGCTACAAGATTAACTGATCTAACAGGTTTTTTTTAAAAGGTCAGCCATAACAAGATCTGACCACCTAATATAATTAACACATTTCAAGGAATAAGAACCCAAGGGGTTGAGCTTGGGCAGAGTAATGCTAATTTCAAACCTCAAAGTAATGTGGTGTAATTTGCTTACTGGGTGAACCCGAGTTCGGGTGGTAACCTTTCATGATAATTTCTAACACCTTTTGATCCTATAGGGTAACAGCTATAGGGCAAGATTGTGAGTGGCTCTAAAGCCAACAGATTAGCATAAGATAAGGTATAAAGGAATGTGCATATCAAGTGACCAGTTTGAAGGACAAGACAGAAGGACCATTGCTGTACCAAGCCTGGACCCCAGACTCCCACTATGAGTGAGGACCAGATCCTGACCAAGGAACCTTCCCGGTGACCCCTCGGACAGCGTTGAGCGGTGACGTTTGACTTCGCTGGAACAACTTGGCACCCACCAGGCATAGAGGGACTGCGAATAAGTTGCCAACCCCATGTGGGAACTCTTTGTCACTCTATCTGCTGTTATTATTCACTATTAGCTCTTTATTACTATACTATCTGTTTGTCACATTAACCCTTCTGTTAACTGTTGTATGTTAAGCTATAAGTAAATTTGCCTTTACTTCACTCCTGACTCGCCTCCTTGATCCCGAACCCAGCAGCCTAATGGCTGATACACTCAATAGCACCTTGCCGGCCAGTGACAGGGCACTTGAACAAAAACTCACTGAATGAGCTTAAAAGCGCCCCCGCCGCTATTTTGAAGTGTGGGATGCTGAATACACAAGACGTTGAGGGTGCTTTAATCATAGTGGCTCTTAGAGCCACAGTAATTAAAGCATCATTCCCCACCCTCCACCCCCAGAGCATGTGTAAAGTCGCTCTAGAAGACCAACACCATCCTTATTTGATCATACACAACATAGGTTTGTCTAATCCAGCCCCGCCACCAATCAGGTTGCACCATTTCTAAACCATTCCAGCCAGGGATTTATCCAGCCTCTCTTGAAAGCCTCCAGTAAAAGAGATTTCATGCGTTTTCTGGGCAATTTGTTTTACTAACTACTGGTCTTTGTTACCAGGATTATACAGGTAAACTTGCAGGTTGGCTAGTGATAAAAGAGGCAAGAGATGGGTCTACAGCCTAATCATTTAGTGTCTACATCTCAAAACATAAAACAGAAACAGTTATCCCAAAGTCTATCTGGCTACCCATGACAGCACAACATAGATTTTTACCTCTACTGGCTTGGGAGACTCAAGCAGTGGAGGAAGGTGGCACTCACAGTCACAGGCCTGGTGCAGGGACGGAGCAGGGCCAAGGATTAGGAGAGAAGGGTAGGTTGCAGCCACAAGCATGCACTTCAAGGGGAGGCCAATGAGGCTGAGACCCAGTGGCAGGATATAAGAGGCTGGAGCCAGGAGTTGGCACAGCGGCAAAACAGCTATCGCAGTTGGCGAGTACATGGGGTGTAGGGGAGGTGAAGCCCCAGGATCAACCGCAACAAACCAGTGAGTATTACCGTCTCCAGGCCAGGGGCAAGAACACCACTGAACGCCTCCTTTCAGTAACAGTTCAATCAGGTCGTGGCAGGTGATTCGGGGGCCTGGCCCAGGGAGCAGGGACATACTTACAGCACCAACTGAGGGTGCCACAATTACTTATACTTGAGAAGTATTAAGTTATATAAAACTTAAATGGTGTGTTTCAGGAGCACAGCGCTCTTATCACAACTTGTCCTTCCGATCAGTTCATAAAGGAATTACAACTGACACATTACTGAGAGCTACAGTACTTTGCCCCTACACCCCAGTATTGGGGTGGGGGTTCGGGATAGGCATCACATTTGTTCCCATTTGTTGATCTATCAAATCAGGAATTCAAACTGGAATCCTACAGCAATTCTACTTCAATTCTCTGACAGGTCTCAGAATAAAATTTGCAGGAACAAACCTGGATAAGACACATAAGAGTGCTTTTCTAAGAGAGTCAACAAAACTTTTACATAGGCCATGTGATTAGTTTGGCTGTGTACACCCATTAAGTCTTTTTGGTAATAGCTTTTCTATTATGAGTTTCTTCCTATGGAATGTAACTGCTGTGAATGGTCCAGAAGTTTCTAGAAGTAGGTGTCAGTTACAGGTGTTACCCACGGCTACACTAGCATCTTTTAAGAGATCTGCAACTAGTTCTGCTGGCCATCTTCCAATCCTAATTTTCTATGATTTTATGATCTTAACAGTAGGTAGTTCCAATGATTAAAAGCCACTGCCAGATTACATTTAGTTCATAATTTAGGGTTTAGAGCACACAGAATCATAGAAAACTAGGGCTGGAAGGGACCTCAGGAGCTCATCTAGTCCAACCCCCTGCTCAAAGCAGGATTATCCCCAAATAGATCATCCCAGCCAAGGCTTTGTCTACCCACGTCTTAAAAGCCTCCAAGGATGGAGAGTCTGCATCTTCTCTGGGTAGCCTGTTCCAGTGCTTAGTAGCCTCTTAGTGAGAAAGTTCTTCCTATTATCCAATCTAAGCTTCCCTTGCTGCAACTTGAGACCATTGCTCCTTGTTCTGTCATCTGCCACCAGTGAGAACAGTCCAGCTCCATCCTCTTTGGAATAATCCTTCATGTAGTTGAAGGCTGTGATTAAATCCCACCCCCCCGCCCCCATCTTCTCTTCTTCAGACTGAAGAAGTCCAGTTCCCTCAGCCTATCCTCATAAGTCATGTGCCCCAGTGTTCTGACCATTTTTGTTGCCCTCCGGCAGACTCCAATTTGTCCACATCCTTTCTGTATGGGGGGCCTATAACTGGACACAATATTCCAGATGTGGCCTCACCAGTGTCAAAAAGAGGGGAAGAATCACTTCCCTCAAACTGATGGCAATGCTTCTACTAATGCAGCCTAATATGCTGTTAGCCTTCTTCACAACAAGGGCACACAAGAGGGTTCAAGCTTTTGTAAGACCCAATACCAATTTAAGTGCAATTAGGAATATTTATAAAAATATTCAAGTGTCAATTAAAAGCCCTTAAATCATTTTCTTTTAGTGTGTGCATTAAAACCCTGCAACACTGTGATAAGGAAAATGTGAATGGGACCAGAAACTGATCAATGGTTTCTTCTCCTCCACCAAAACGCAAAGAAGAGAAAACCTATTCAGAGCACACAATGTATCCATTTTAATCTAAGATGGTGAATAGTAAAGTAGGTAACACATTTGAATTTTCTTTACCTGAAATTTTCTTTTTGATTAACTGGGCTAAAATATATAGCACATAACAGAATTTTGAACTGGCAGGAAATGATACTGGCAAGTTAACTTATTAATAACAGTAATGCTTTACTAATTGTTATTAATAAATACTTGAATTACCAATTCAGTGAGTTAATCACTAGCAATAATTACTACTACTATTACTAAGAATACTAAACGTTACCTGGACCTTTGAGTTTCTAAAATTTTGACAAGTCCATTTATTGACCTGAAATAAAGCAGAAAAAGGAAGTTAGAGGTAAATAGCATTGACTGCCATGATTTAAGAAACTAGTAATGGAAATGGGGATCAAGACCTTCTTAGCAATAATCCCAGCTATGTTATTAACTTGTACTACCTAACAGCAGTCCCAACAGACATTCTGATTGCCTTCCAAGCTTATCAGGAAGGTATAAGAAAAAGTTCACTAGCCATGAAAACAAAGTTGTTACAGACAACAGTATGTGTTCAGGTAAAATTTCTCCCTCAGACATTTTTATTTTTATTGAGAAAATTTTGTTAAAATTGTGAAATGTTTTTCAAGCTTAGAGGATTGTGATGGCATTAGAGGATATTATTTCTCACATACCTAATTTATAACTGGTCCAGTTTATTTGATCATCTCCTTAAGACCAATAATTATTGAGGACCCCATCCATATCATCTTACTACTCTACTTGGCTATAAATAGATCTACCAGTCACTTTTACAGTGTGTGTTTGGATATACTTAATCAGTTATACCAAAAAAATATGAAGTGTGAAAGACTGAAAGGGCTACACAGTTACTAGATAACAGTAGCAAACCTGGCTTATTTCAAATGAAAAAACAAACTTAGCAGGAGTATATGAATAACTGAAACATTTTTGAAAGGGCTCTCTCTCTCATAAGCTAATAATTTGTGTGTCAAGGTAATCATACAATCTCTGATTCTAGTGCCATGCAAAAGCAGCAAGCAGTCAATATTTAAGCAAAAACTGTTGGCTGGTATAACTTATTCATGCTATCAACTCCATACCTGACAGCTGTTCTTATTTTATTCAGTTCTTCTTGTGAAACCAAATCTGTTTTATTGATGATTATAAGATCAGCCAGTGCAACCTGCCTAAACATGAGGACAAAAATAAGAAAAGAAGGTGCAAATGTACAAATTTGTTCTCTACAATGCAAAGTCACCATTCTTCCCATGCCATCAAAATATGAATGAGTAATGTGACCTCAGAAAAGTCTTCATTGAATTAGGAGAGCAAGTAATAAAATCACATCACTTTCTGTAATACACTCTATTGCTGATGAGGTTACAAAGTTCCACTGGTAAAAAAAGAGAGTTTTATCAACTTCATGATTTCATTAGAACAAACACATAAATTATTAAAATATGGGGTTAAGAACAAAGCTTTTTTCATTATGCATCTCACTTTTTATACATTCTGAATGCATTAGTATTTTTCTTAAGGTCACTAGCAGTATGATGAATGTTGTTTGCTCATCAACATTTTAATTGTTATCCAAGCTTGCAAAAAAGGAGGTCAAGATGATATGACATTTACAATATCAGTAGCCTGAATATACCAGTTATACCATGATAACAGCACATTAGAAGCAAAATGCAACATTAGCAAAGTCTTTTAAAGATGGACTGTCCAACTTCTGGATAGTGGAGGACCACACATCACATGGGCTGCAGACCACAGCACCACCCCTGCCAAGCCCCATCTTTGGCATGCAGGCAGTTGCTCCCCTCATCTCCACCCCCATGCACAGCTCAGCTCCTGCATCTCCACTGACCACATACGTAGCCCAGCCCAGCTTCCCCCAGCCGCCAGGCCAGCTACAGGACCCCTCTCTCCCCCGGCCCAGCTTCCCCCAGCCACCAGGCCAGCTACAGGCCCCCTCTCTCCCCCGGCCCATGCATGCACCATTGTGGCAAAGTGGGAACTCCCTGACTAGCCACAGTGCTAGTCTCCCACCTGCCTCTGGGCATGCCACCCGCCTTTCTCGCCTGCCATGCCTTGTTGTTCAAAAATTAAGATTTTAATTAGGCAGGAGACTGCTCTTCGTATGCCCTGTTCTCCCGGACCTATGTATGCAGCTCCAAACACCCTTATACTGCATCCCAAGCCTCACAGATGTTCCTAACAGCTGAACTCTGCTCCGGCCTGAGGCCAGGCTTCTCCGTTTCTGCCCTGTTATGGGCCACATTCATACCGCCTCCCTCTCACTGAGGCCTCTCTCACTCCACTGCCTCTCACAGTCTCTCTCATACAGCCCCTTTGTGGGGCCATTCTCATATTGACCCTCCTTTTCCTGGGGCCACACTCACCCTGCCTTTGCCCAGAGGGTCCTGAGGCTTGTTTCCCTGCACTTCCTGGCCAGCAAGCGTGTGGCCTCTGGGGCCTCTCCCGTGACCCTCATCCGAGTGAGTGCTGAGCGGTTAGCAGAACACTGGAGTGACTCCGCCTCCAGTCCCTCACTGGGTCGCTCACCCAGCTGCTCTGAATTAGGGGCTCCTGACTCGCCCCAATGTTTACCCGCAGCACTTCCTCAGCCACCCCACCCAATCGGCCTCTGGCCCACCTGTGGCCTCAGGTGCCTGAAGGCTTACCTGGACCTAACCTGGCCCCCATGTTAGCAGGGCTTACCCTCGAGCCCCCTACCCACCGGGGCCCACTTCACACCCTTTCCTCGCAGGTCCTCCTGTCAGGACCCCTGTTCGCAGGGCCTCTGCCCCCCTCGGCTTCCACAGGCTGTACCCATACCCCAGCCCCTAACTCTGGCCTCTCATGGGCACTAAGCCAGTCACTCTTATTGGGCTCCTTGCCCCCGCCACATATTTTTTATATATATATATACATACATATACATACATATACATACATACATACATATACATACATA